CCATTTACCGAGCCAGACAGCTTCAGTTTTGTCCATGTTAATTCTCAGCCTTGAGCATTTCTCAAAATCCCCCAATAAGTTAAATAGCACCCCAGCAGATTTTTCGTTTGAATTGAAGCATGACATGTCGTCCGCAAATGCTGCTTCTTTAATTTCTTTTCCCGATATGATAATACCTTTGATTTCTTGTTTTGATCTAATAGCCACCAGCAGAGTTTCTAAAACTAAAATGAAGAGCATCGGAGACAGAGGGTCTCCTTGTCTGACTCCCCTTTGCAACTCAAAGTATCCCGTACTATATCCGTTATTCATCACGCAACATACAATATTTGTATACAATGATTTCACCCACCTTTGAAATTGAGGACCGAATTGAAATTTCTCTAATGCATAGGGCAAGCTACTCCCAACTGAGCGTATCAAAGGCCTTTTCAAAATCTACTGCTATTAGCAGAGCCTCCTTACAAGTTTGTTCTATGTAGTGATACACCTCACTAATTAATCTTGCATAATCACTAATATTGCGGCCTTTAACAAAAGCTGCCTGGGTTTCGCCAATTAGTTCAGGAAGAACAGATTTCAATCGCTTAGCAAGACATTTGGATGCCAATTTTGCATCCACGTTCATCAATGAAATTGGCCTCCAGTTTTTCAATAAACGTTTATCTCGTCCAGGTTTGTCTATTAGTGTAATGATACTTTGTTTCTGAGAGGTCGAAAATTCTCCCTGCTCAAAGGCCAAGTTTAATGAGTTCACTACCAGATTTCTTACCAGTGGCCAATATGCCTTATAAAACTCAACCGTTAAGCCATAGTTTCCTGGGCTTTTATTTTCTTTCGAATTTAATAATAGTTAACACTCGTTGTATCCCAAAACGGTATCATTGAAACCACCATTTCGACCACTCCTGTGCCAGTGATCAGTGTTTGGACGAGCGGTCGGTGTTTTCATTAAGTGAGCGAGAGGACAAAAAAAGCTAATAATGCGGTCATTTTCCGGTCGGAAAATACCATGCGGTTGGAAAGTTGGGCGAAATGAGTACTGTAGTTCAAGTGATGTTAGCGTATTTCTAATTTAGTTTTAATTCGTAAAATATTTATTTACTCACTGCTCACTATAGCTAGAACGCTGTACGTGTCTTCTGCCGATTTCACGCAACCAAAAACATGATTTTTCATTTGTGATTTTGAGAAACTTAACATGAATCGTTATGGCATTCATACGCACAACACCTCACCATGTTTAACAAGGTCTTTCATAGTAGCACTTCTATGGGATTGACGTACTAGAATGAATGGGTTCACTGATGGCGTCTTGACTGGCCCTCTAGAGGCGAAATGACGCCAGGCAAAGCGGATTTTTGTCATCTACTTCACAGCCCGTTTTATACCCGATATTTAGGACATTTCGCAGCACATACAAGTTGTTTTTATTGACAGAATTCATTCATAGATCTCAAATTTCCTGTACAGAGTGTCAAAAGCCAGACCTCTGCTCCCTTTAAACGACATAAAAGTTCATGTGAATATGGGAACTCGGCGATGGGCATTCTAGAAAATATGGAGTGGTTGTATTAAGAGAAAATAAAAATCGGTGTTTTTTGCAGCCGATATGCATGCATGCAGCATGGAATAGACTAATACATGCGTAAACAAGCTAGACAAAATTAAATTAAATCACGCCGCAAGAGGGCGTACTTTATTCTGTAGCAGCATGGGCGTGTAATTATGTGATTAGATATCAAGACGCCCTCTTTGAATCATTGCACCACCTAGATACAGACGTTGTACCGTGAACCATCAAGACAGTTCATCATACCGCCGACTATTTGATTCAAATGTACACGCTAATGTTATCAATTCATCAAGGAATTATACAAGTTTTTTTCTAATCTCAACAATTGTGTGATACTAAGTCACCAGGGAAGACACAAGCCGTGTGGCAACCCGGATTATCACAACTGAAGAGCACTAGGCAGCCCCAAACTGGTAAACATCTACATGGCTAGCAATTAACCGAACAAATGTACATCTACAAATCTAACACGCGGTGCATCATGGTACACTTTAACATTCTGGACTGACAATCAAGTGATTGCGAATTCGAGCCTTGGCTATAATACATGTATAGGGATGTAATTTTGAGCAATTCAATGAAATCTAGTGGCGGATCCAGAGGGGGGGGGGCATCCCCCCAAAACGCATGACGATTCATATCATCTGGATTACGCATAGTTTCTCTGCGATTTACGCTCCGTAATTTTAAACGAAGCTTGCCCCCAATACATTTTGTTGGATCCACCACTGATGAAATTACTCCTAGAGCTTCTCTATACCCGGTAGTAAATGAGAAATCGAGTATAAAATGATTGGCTGTATAATAGCTGGGGTTATATTGTCCCTGGGGAATTCAACGGAGTTGGCTAATGACTTTCAAGTTGACTCTGTACATGTGCAAGACCAATTGATCATACAATACAAAACGCGTTTTAATTTTCTACGAAAACACGGCCACTACTACCCCTTCTCCAACCAAGCAAAAGTCAACGATGATTCAAGAACAAGTATATGAAATTCTCTTTTATTTGTAAAATTAAATACGTCATAGTTTCAGAGTAAAAACTGAATATCATTTTAATGATCTTCTGTTAATTTTGATTAGATGTGTAAGATGACGGAAAAGGGTGAAGATAACTATAAACCAAAGTTGCCGAACTAATTACCGAACAATATGCGGTTTACGTAGAGTGTCACTCGGGCTGCAACGGATTACTTCGGGTACTACTCGGCATATACTGAGTTTAACATATTAGCACCAAAAACATTATCGGAATCCTAATTGGTTATCCGATTCATAGGTATGGTCACTTATTATGCAAAACCTAATCAGATGTAAAAACAAACTAAATCTCATCTAACTCGTCTCGGTGTTTTGTGACTCAGGATAACAGCAAAAGAGCTATGTTCACGGATTCACACATTCATCTATGCCCTTTTCGGTTTATGCATGTGATCTGCTTACCCGGAAACTAGAAATGGAAAAATCTCGGTACTTTAAAGTCACGTATGAAGATTAATGATCCCCAGTTCATTCAAACGTGCCCATAATTTATTTTCGGTGGTGTAGTCGTGATTTGCATATTCAACATGGCGGCCATTGTCGTAATAATGATCCGTATAGTTTGAATAACTTGCTCCAACTCCATAGACATCAACCTGCAACAAACAATACTCAAAGTAAACACACTCGGTGACTCATATTAAAACAATTTCGATACAATACTAGCCGACATTATTTCAAAGTAAGGACATTTTGAATGAATCGACCACCACGTAAAACTGGCAGACGCCGAGACCGCAATATGGTTAGTTTATGTAAAATTTGTAAGTGATCGTTCCCTGGAAATACATGAAGGACAACTTAGATTCTTACTTGTGTGTCAAAGCGTGCTCTGGTCCAACACACTGGACGGAAATAGCCGCCGAGGTCTCGTTGGGGGCGAGAGAACCGCGCGACTTAATACCCCTCAAATAGTGTTCGATCCCTCCCGTTATTGCGTTTACTGTTCCAACTATACTAGTTACATAAATGAGTAGAACAGAAGAAGCGATCGACGGGGGGGGGGGGACTAAACACTATTAGTACACTATTTGAGGGACAAAACAAGTTGTTGTTCTAAACGAGATTTCGGTGGCCGTTTACGTCGAAGATGGTGCCTATATAGGAGTGGTTGCACAACAGTGCAACATGCAATTATATGACCACTGTTGTATTATGATTTGCTTGAAAATTCCTTCCACAAATATACACACATATTCCATTCAACCAACTTGAGAACGAAGTAATGGGTTCCCAGACTGGATGAGCCAACCAACGAAGAAACGGTTTCCCCGTGTGAACAAATAACGGCGGCAAGTTTTCTCATATGAACCAATCATTGCGTTAAAAATATCAATTTGCTTGTACTAGCAACACAGTTTCAGTCATATTACCAATTCAATTGAAATCGCTACATTAATCAGATTTTGCAACATTATTACGTCATGTTCCGAGAACTGATTAATGTTTTTAAAATCGGTAAAAATTTAGTGAACCAATATGTGGCATGGTAACAAGCCCGTACGATCGATTATCGAAACGCTAAAGCTGTCATTGAAGTGACATATTAGTATTGAAGAAAAAGTAGGAAAATACACAGCCACTAATCTATAAAACAGTCAGATAAATGCTTTCTCAAAACTTTCTAATTGACCGATAGCCACAAACGAGTCAGAAAAACAGTATGTAACACACACATAGGAACAAACCAATATTTTCATGTGTAATTTAACCAAAAATCTATCTCGTTTAGAAAAAATGTGCAATTCTTTAACTTCATACACATATTAAATAAATGTTGGTGACTGGCGATTATATATTTTTTAAACCGAGTGGCATTTTTTCCAGCTAGGTCATACCCTATACACGCACGCTAAAACTTACATCAATATCATAGATATTTTTGATTTCCCGGCCAAGAATTAAACTACGATATCATGATATACGTCATGTTTCTCTCTCAAAACGAAACATCCTGGCAAATTTGAAAGTGACTATCTCAATCTCTAATACAAAGTGATGCCCGGAAATGTTTTAGAATTGCCGTAGTTATAGTTGCCAAATTATTTATGACTGAAATCCCAACTATCATTTATGCACTAAACCCTATCTGACATCGCACATTCAAGTGTTAGTAATAAAACCAATCGTGCCCACGGATTAACAATGTATTTTAACTTACTTCATCACAAGTATGCAATGCTACGAGTAGCATAAATGCCCCTGTTTGCGGGCGATAAATATCCCTTTTACGACCTGGCGAGTCAACCCAGCTGAAAGAAAATATAGTTCAATAAATTACATTCATCAGACTATTCGGCAATTATAAGTTTAAAACAAAAATGAGTATGCTACAACTGGTCATAGATGAAATGCACTGATAAATCAAATTATTTACACAGAGTTCAACTTGTGTGAATTTGTATATGTTTAAGGATGTAGTAGACTTTCGTTGGGCAAAACAGAAAAAGCTTGATAAAAATAATAATAATGATTAATGACTAACAATTTTTACATGTTGTTGTAGCCCTTGCAACACTCTATCCAACAAATATGATAACACTAATGTCAACATTAAGTACGTCACGTGACTGCTAAATAAACAAAATCGATTGTTCTGCTATTTTTTTTACTGCTACTAGAAAACGAAAACAGCCAACACATTTTTTATGAGAAAAGAAAGACTACAATGTTTTCAAAAATAATGTAAATGTTCTGTTAAACCAAAATGCGAAGCTTTTGTTGCTGGTGAGAACGCCCATTTTTACTGTCCTGTTCACTATCTCCAAGATTGTTCAAATATTTTTAAACATTTGTTTAATAAATATAAAAATGGTAACAAATGTAAACCCCCCAACTCCGTTGAAAGGATAGTTTTGAAACGCTAAACGTTTAGATTTAGAGCTACTGTGCACACATTGAATTGTCACAGCCGTCGCGCCACTTCCTATCCGGTTTGAGTCTCGGGCTGTATAACGACGGCAAAGATGAAAGAGAACCTGCTTCAAGCTCGAAAATATATTGTTCACTATATATTACATATTATTTTTGACACCCACCTCCAAAATAAATATCTTGAAAAGTCTGGATGCAGGACCTTGACATTGTTGTTATTTAGCTTGACAGGAAAAGTTGGTGGAGATCTGCGTTTACAAACATAACAGTATATATTACAAACAACCGTATATACGAGTGAATACTGAAACTACTAGAATGTCTATAACAGGGCTACTTAATTGTAACTCGTGTACTGTATCGACCGCCTTGTTTTCGTCAAGACTAGCGATGTTTCAGTGACGACGAACAAAATGCACACGTACATTTAGTTCGTAAATTTAACCAAACTACTGCTCAGTTGTGGTCTGATAACAGTGATGCGCACGTGTCATGACATATTTAGCAATCACTGTCAGTCCCTAAACTACTAGTATTGAAGGTGTTCTGCTTCACTGTTTTTGACGAGAACGAGGCTGTGATGCAAATATGGGTAGCGGCCATAATTGACGGCTGACACAACCCTCATTAATACCTAATAATAATAACATTATATACATAGCCCTGCTGGCTTTGTTATTTCTTTTGTCACCAGATTAGTTATTAGATGGTATGATTACACCAAGGTAGCAGTATGGAAAAAAAAAACTAATATTTTCAGTTTGAAATGTAAATTTGTTACTACATTCGTATTTCTAAATAACTTTACCTAGAGCTTTAATTTATGACAATATTTCTCTATTTTCTCTTTTCTATAATGTATAGTGATATATTAAGACAAGATCATCAGCATAAAACTGAGAGCGAACTTTGTCATTAGTTAGTTGAACCTGATTCGTGGAATTGTATTACAGTGAATGATTTAGATCACTGACATATGTATATGGAAGAACATGTGGCTCATAACACATCCCTGTCTTACATCTTTGTTGGTTTCAAACACACGGGACACCTCATTTTCAAAACGTATACATGATTTTGTAAGTTGATATATACGTATGCTTAATTCATTTGAAGATGTTTTCAGCAACACCGTTATTGAGCAATTTATAGAATAACCTCTCTCTCCAAACGTTATCAAAGGTATTTTGAAATCAATAAGAAGTAAGTATATAATTTGTTTTGTTTATTTGTAGATATTCATGGACTGTTTTTAAATACAAAAATGTGATCACTGGTTCGATAACTTTTCCTAAATCCTGTCTGATTATTACTTTTACATATTTTACTCTCTAAGATTTGGCCAAGTTTATTGTTTTAATAAATCTGGACCATCATATCCAGACTCTTTCTAAGTTTTAGCTTACTAATTGCTATTTTAACTTCTCTTTCTGTTAATTATCATTATTATTTCATTGTTGTTTTTTTACATTTTTTTATTATTCATAAACAAAAAATACAGAATATAAGGAAATAAATACAGAAATAAATAGTAATTTACGATTTCATTGTTTATAGTATTCATTCCAGGCTTCAAGCTAAATTTAACTCTTTTTAGATTCTTTAATTTTATTGCTTACAGTATTTGCCAATCACGGGATATATGGTGCACCATACTAAACGTCCCGCCACTTGACAAATGATTCCAGAGATGAAAATCTATTTCCAGAATAAGTTAGAATAATAATAACATTCATCAATGTGATTACCTGCTATAACCGTCCTGACTACGAGGCAATGGCTTACCAGACAGGGCGGCGCCTATGACCTGATAGCTCCATTGTTCACATGGAACTAAGACGTAACGAATATCCTATTATGAAACAATGAAAATACGTTAAGATGTACATTCATCATGTTATGCCATGTATTTATAAAGTTACTGTGTGTATTCTTTATTACGTTAAGGTGTACATTCATCATGTTAATTGTCTGCATTCATCGTGTTATGGTGTATATTTATTGTGTAAAGGTATGCATATATTATATAATGGTGCTCGTTTATCATGTTATAGCATTATTTGTTGTGCTGTGGTATGCATTCATTAGGTTATGGTGCGCATTCATCATGTTATGATGTGTATTTATCGTGCTATGGTGTGTATTTATTGTGTTAAGATATGTATATATTATATTATGGTGCTCGATTATCATGTTATGGCGTGTATTTGTTGTGCTGTGATATGCATTCATTAGGTTATGGTGCGCATTCATCATGTTATGATGTGTATTTATCGTGCTATGGTGTGTATTTATTGTAGTAAGATATGTATATATTATATAATGGTGCTCGTTTATCATGTTATGGCGTGTATTTGTTGTGCTATGGTATGCATTCACTAGGTTATGGTGCGCATTTATGTTATGGCGTGTATTTGTTGTGCTATGGTATGCACTCATTAGGTTATGGTGCGCGTTCTTCATGTTATAGTGTGTATTTATCGTGCTATGGTGTGTATTTATTGTGTCTCGGTATGCATTCATTATGTAATGTTTTCATTCATCATCATCATGTCATAGTGTAAATGTATTGCTACATGGTGTGTATTGTTCATGATTTAAGGTGTATCCACACGTCCATTATTCAAACCGTCAGAATATCGATTCATTCACAACTGTAAACAAAAACAGTTCGGTTTACCTTTCCGTTGGGGGCGCTTTTATACCCATATTTGTTACCACCCCTGATAGAGTTATCCAAGGTTACCATGGTGAACACGTAGTGACTTGTCTTATCCCCTACATCAGATTCAAAGCCTTTGGTAACAGCTACATTCACCCTGTGGTGTATCATACAGTATGGACGTGTTATTATTATTATTATTATCATTATCGCGGAAAGACGAGATCATTACAGAATTCGCCCCAAGAAAGAGCCTCAGTTTGTAATGCGCTTGTTCGTATTCAATGAAGAAACGCACGCATTAATAGTAACAACAAATCTGCATTTCAATTAAAGAGAAACGATCAATTTCCACTTATTTAATGCCAGTTCTATTTACAAATGCATGTCTTGGTTGTACATTGTCACCAATCTGATGTGGTACCCGCATACACGTATGACATGACAATTGCATTCAATTGTCTATGTCAATACGTGTTAACTTTCCCATGCTTATTACTTTAATGTTCACATTCCTACACCTATATGTAATATCTAATGTATTGTTTAAAGCCTAAACCATATTAACACTTTTATACACGCCGTGTCAAACGTCACCATGACTGTCTAGCACTCCTTATTTGGCATGTTAGTAAGTTCTAACCAATCACGTTGACTTGTGCTAGGCGTCGTAGTGACGTCACGATATCACGTGGTTTCACTTATAAATAGGGGGACTGATGAGAAAGAGGGAGCGGAGGTTATACGGGAGGTCTGTCTCTAGGCGTGGCTGTAAAGCCATCGCCTGGAAACCAAGTTTACACTTCACTGTATTATCACTGTATCTGATGTCTCCACGAATAAATATCCTGATTGTATCACCACTACCCTCAACAGTTCAAAATATGAGTCTGTTACAACATGCTATACAATGAAAGGTTGAAACTGTGATGATGGTGATCTATTATTGGCCATTATATTATGTTCTTATCCATTAAAATTGACGCATAAACATAGTCAGGATGCTGGAGGTTAATATAATATTAACTTTATAAAATATCTCGTGTAATTGCAGGGATTTATCTTGATTGGTTATTGTGGTTCCTACATATATTGGTAGTTGTGTAAACGTACAGGCGAGTTTGTTATACCATGGAACTCCATGGTTAAACATAAAATGCTTTAGGAATTGGTCCTACAACCGTCCTCGCTTTTATTGAGGTAGCCATTTTCAAGGACTCAATTGCTTTTGAAAGCAAATAATTAAAAAAAAAAATGATCTCTGAGAGTTTTACATGTGGTTATAGAAAGTATAGCACAATTGTTTGAAAATACATGTATGGTACCCTAATGTACCAATGATGAAAGCTATCTATCTAGTACCTGAATTCACGTCGCTGACTTTTTAAACTCGTCAACTGCTTATGGTTTCGTTCAGGGGATATTCTATACGTATGGTGAGATATATGACTCGCTTCGGTTCGAGATAGAGTAGTATTCAATGTTTGTAGAAGGGATTTATGAAGCTGCGTTCGTACCAGAAAAGGCACCCAGTCGACACGAAATCATGCCCTCAATCGTCGAGGTTCAAACCGATCTCTATCCGGATCGAGTTCAGTAGTGACCCGGAGAACGAGGTTAATTTGAACTCATTTGCCACAAATTATATAACACAGAGTTTTGAAAATAGCAAATAAACTATTTACTTCTAATAACTGCGTTTAAAATCGACGTACATTTTTTTATCCACTATGAATGGGACGTGTGACACTGAACCAAATATGACGTACTGACCTGAATACGTAATCGTGTGAATTGATCTCCTCCCCTAGTTTAGAGTTTTTCAGAACACCACCATTTCCAACAACAGCACATCTAACACACCTGGCTGTGTTTTTCCATTTGCTCACTAAATTGTCGAACATATAGCGACTCCCGTCAGTGTTCAAGTTTGAAGCTACGTCAGCAACCTCTAAAATACAATGTCATAACAAATAAATAGTGTAAATAGAACCATTAAAAGGCGATAATATGGCAATGAAACAGTCCATCCCAGCATGGAAGGTATTACCTTCCATGTTCCCGGTAAACAGGCATTGTTTAGAACAAAAACAATAATAAACGCGGACTGTTTAACTGTTTTTGTAAATGCTAATGTGTGAACAATAACTGTCCTCTACTGAAAAACATATCATGCTTTGGACAATGGGTACAAAGCTCTTATGTAAAGCGGGGAGTCGTCATCTGCGCTTGCGACGGACGGCCATAGCGTGTCGTTGTTTACAAACACTCGTCTACCCATGAGCCTTTCGTGTTTTAGCGTGCGTTGTTATCGTCGCCAGTGACTCAATCCCCGCGCGTGCGCAGGTGAAAACCCCTCCGCTTTAAACAGATTGATTCAGACTCGGAGACAGTGTACAATATTAAGATAATTGTGGCAATATCGCTTTTTTTAAGTACAAGTAAACAACGTCTGGAACAAATATATGAGGAGAATACATGCCCTGGACTAGCTTACCTTTATAGTCTACGTTTGACCATCCCTGTGGAGTCTTGAAATGTGAGAGTCGATCATATTCCTCCTTATTAAAATGATCGCTTGTTAATAAAATCGGGATGTCTGGAATGAACTTTTTTCGAAGTTCTGGAATCTCGAGGATTTTTTTCCTCAGGGTTGATGGGCAGTGCTGGGGGTAAAAATTAATTAAAAATAATTAATCCAAAAATAATTATTTGTTTTAATTGAAACATCACATTCAGTCATGTAAGTTACTCATCAATATGCAATCACGTGGTATCTAAGGACGAATTATGGAAAGTGAAATAAATAATTAAAACAGGACTTTGGGAAACTCCGTCTGCACAACATGGCGTGAAATGTTTCAAACAGACCCGCAAAGCTTATAACATGATATACTTACCGCATAATATTTATACTGATCGTCTTTGTTATATTTACGTTCTTCCGCTAGAGACAACCCCGCGGTCTCATTTTGTCTGAGGTTGATCAATTTTTCCAACTCTGAAATGAATTCTGTTGGTGTATCAAAGTAAGGGCTCGTATTGTCTGTATTTGGAATGTCAGGAACTTGAAGATGCTCAGACAATTGGACGGAATTTATTAGACGAATTGAGTGATTTAATTTAGATTCAATGTCGTCTGTCAATAGTGTACGGTTCAAGTTTCTCGATCGAGAATCTGCTTTTAACTTTTCCAACACATATCGCACGTTTGAAGAAGCCAGACGCAATGCCGAGGAATTGTCTGGCGGCCTGCAAGAAAGATAAAACACAGTGCCATATTACTACACATGTATACAAATGGATTGGTTTGCATTCAGTCTCAATCACGTACACGCACTGCCACGACGAATTTAAATCACAGCACAGGGACTATTTACCAGGCTAACGACCAGACGGAGAAGATATGTATCAATATTTGTATAGCGATTCGGGTTCGGATGTTTGCTCATGGAGGGTCAACTTTGCTAGTGCATACCTGTACAGCTTAATAGATCGGATATTTTTATCTGATCCCAGCCACAAACTTCTATAGCCGTAAAATACGATGATGCATATAAGTAAACACGACACAAACACAAACTTCAGTATGTCCAGTCGCCTGAAACGAGACATGCAAGTGTGTTAACCCGACTATAGCGCCACCGAACATATTATATATGCCCTCATATGAGCTAAACAAACTGTTAGCGTCGGATGACAGTATTCGAAGAGGCGAGACTCGG